TGGATTAAAAAAATAAACAACAATTTTATTAATATTAATCAAATAGCTTACTTATTAATTGATTTTTTTTTGGCATCAGTAAACTTTTAATTATTTTGAGATTTTATGTAAACTGAAAAGTTTTTAACTCTAATACAAGTCCAGAGTTTTTAAATTTAAGTATAGATTTTTAATAAATGATAATATAAATAAATGGATTAGGTATACGTTGGCACTTCTAAACGTTTAAAATTGCTCTATTTGGAAATTTTATGTAATCTTTTACTTGTCAACGTAAACTTCAGAAAAGTTCTTTTACGGTATAATTATTTACTTTATTGCTTGTAATTTATAATAAATTAATAACGGTAAAAAAAATCAACGTTTTAAATCTCTGCATTAAAGTTTTATAATAGCATTAAGATTGTTTTTTATCCATTTAATCACGTAAAAGTCTTCGATTAAAAATTTAAAGTTTAAAACAGTTGTAAAGGATTTGTAAAGCAAATGTAAAATAGAAAGAGATTAAAAAAAAGAAGAAGAAAAATACAGCGATTCTGCATTTGTGATTGTGGCAGCAGTCATTCTTTCTTGTTTTGAAAGCATAACATGCTGAGTGCTTTCCGAGCCAACTTTGTCTTCAACTCCGAGAGGAGATGGCGCAAAATAGACTTTTATGGGCGCCGAGAGACATACCATTGAACAAATGGGGGAGATGCTTCTAGGGTGGGACTTATTCCTCTAACTGGCTCTTACTTGTTTTGTATCGCAAGATACGTTATTGTTCGTAAAGCTTTACGAAATCGGGCAGTTTTCTTAACGCTCTTTTCACTGATAGAGTTGGCACAGTCGCATGATTAAAATTGCTCCTTACCTGGCATAACAAAGCATCTTTATCAGTTCGGATAATTGCCTGTCTCTATGCATGACTACTAATCTTATGTGTTTATAAGAAACATCTTTCTCCGCTATTTTAAAATATTGCCGTTCTTTTTGTAATAGTTGTCGATAACAGCCAAAAAGGATCGCAACAACTACTGTCCTTGTTTAGGCGCCATAATATTTTGGGTCAGAAAAAAGAAAAAAAAAAAAAAACGATTCTGCCAACTCACTTGGCTCGAGTAGATAATCTAGATCTACTGGAATTTCCAGTCTCATATAGAAGATTTTTCGATAAATTAATCTGAAATCGAATCTGTTTTTCAACAACTATCAGAAATTAAAAGTTAATAACTTATAAAATAATATAAAAGAAACAAAGGTAAATGTATGTGTTATATACATACTGTACAAATATATTCTAAGCATTTTCTATGTAATAAATACTCGCAATCAAATATCTAAAAATGAATAGTGTATAATTAAATCCAAAATTTAAAATATTAAAATAAAAGGAACTTAATTTTAAAAAAATGGATGTATTGAAACTTGATCTGACTTCATTAATTATACTAAATTATATCTTATTTTTATATATATATTTGTCTATAAAAACTAGAAACTGCATTCTTAATTGAAAGAGAATCTAAAAAATCAAATATTCGATTCTTAATTATATAATGAAGTTTGGATAGAAAAATCCCTTCGTTAATACTAAATAGTATTATTAAAAGATATAATAAAGGAATAAATTTTCATATTGTCTAGATTTATTGTGTTTATACAATTCAAAATCATTGTTTAATATATATAAATTGTAACTTATAGTAATTGAATTGATCAGAAGCATCGATTGATAGTGAAATGAAGGAAAGCTAAGTTTTATTTTAATGATCCATTCAAAAATAGCTCGGAAATGCATTTTCTGCTTATCTCTTATATTGGCCTAATTTGTTTTAAAACTGGTTATCTTTAGAATTTGATTTATAATTCAGGATTAGATACAGTTAGACCTACTTATAACATGGAAAGGAAGACAATAAAACAGAAAGTACTTTTTAAAAGCCCCTTCGAAGCCTACTTTCCCATAGACTTTTATTTTATGGTACTAAATTCGTTTCATTACCCTGTAATAAACGGTCCTTGTTTTCGAAAAGTATATATTTCATCATCTTTTATTTAAATTGTTATCGAAATTCTGGATAATCTATTACAAAAACGTTAATTTATGCAAGAAAAAGTAACAATCACATTTGAAAAGAATTAATTATTCACAAAAAATTAAAAAAAAAAAAATATTTTCTATCTTGTATTAAATGTTTAACATTAAATAATATACATAAAAGTTTATAAGCAACAATATGAATAAAGATTTTAGTAGTCGAGTTAACTAATTTATATTCAGAGTTATTAATTGTTAAAATATAAGTAAAAAAAAAAAAAAATTAAACTAAACGATTGAAGGGGGGAAAAATCTATTATTTTATTGATATGTGGAGTAAGAAAGATTATGAATATTTTAAATGTAAAGATCCACGTTTGAATTTCAAGTTGATTTTGTTTGGAAAAGAGAAATTCCGAAATGCAAACTTAAACTGCAAACATTTCACGAAAGTACGGGTACAATATTTATAATGCAAATTATTTTTCAAAACATAGCTATTCTGAAAAATTCACTGTTTTTCCTACCATCCATCCAATTTTGAATTGATACAAATAAGTTGTCCAGTATATATATATACATATATATATGTTTATATATATATATATAAATATATATAAAGAAGAAAAAGAATCGAGTTCTGTTATTCGATTCAATAGTTGTATTTTGTATAAAGTGTTCTTAGGAAGATTATTTGGAAGTAAGAAATCCGATAGCCCCGGGAAACGCAAGTAATCTTTCATTCTTCGACATAAGACATGGAGCACACAAAGAGTTAAAAAACATCCCTCAACAATAGATAGCAGTTCAAATAACGTTTTAAGGCCTAATATACTGTAGCAGATGCCATAAACATACTTTACTTTGGAAGTAAAATTTATAATAAAGTTCAAATTATGTAATCTTATTCGGTGTTGATATTACACTAAACAAAATTTCAAAATTTAATTATGAATAAGACTTTAACATAACACAGATGTTGATCATAAAATTCGTTATAATCTCTAATTTCATTTAGAAAATATTTTTAAATTTAAATATAATCCATTTAGAATAAAAGAAAATAGAATAAATTTCTACTGTAGATTATTTCAATGATTCATAACGATCAATTCACAAAAAAAAGGGGAAAAAAACCCTGAAATCATGCTTACTCAACAAAAAATTAACTTGGTTTTAATTACAAAGAAACATATCAGTTGTAACTGAAACTCTTAAATATCCTTATCCTGCCATATATTAATCCATCTATAGGATTTATATACGATAGGAGATAGTTAATCCTATAGGAAAGCCATCTTTCCGATCGTAGGATTTTATGATCGAAAGACTGCTGAACATAAAGTACTTTTATGGCGGTTCCTCCATATTTTCTTGCAATTAAACTAACAACCTCTTCCTGCAGTGGGTCATCAAAAAAAGCTGGATGGGAGTAGGAGTGGCACAGAACCATACTCAGGAACTGTCACAATAGGATCTAAACATAAATAGGAACTGACTGCTCGTTTAGTAGGTTCTTGGGCTTATAACTACAAATTGACATTTTAATTTTTGTAAGAATTTATAAATGGGTAATTATACAAACCTTAATGGAAAAATTACAAAAAAATAAAAATAATGAAAATAATTTACATTCTAAAAACAACTTTAGAAAACATAAATTATTTTTTTAAATTATCTAACAATTTTCTCATCTAACCCTCAAAGAAATTATTATAAATATACTGCATTTCTATTATTACTGAATGCACTTTCAACTATACTTATGATCGTTACAATTAATTTATTGGAAAATAAATTCTATTCCTTTAAGGAAAAAAAATACCAATTCAAATTCCTATTTCTATCCTTTTAACGAATTTTTATTTTTTTACAAATTAAAATATTACTGAAAACGACCACAAAAAATTAATTAAACTGACTTCATAAATAACTGTTAAAAATAGTTTTAAATATGATTTATCTGTAAATTACTACAGTTAATGAGGTTTACTTTGAGAGACTAATTAAAAATTACTCTTTAAATATCTAAACACACAAATACAAACATGCCGGATATACATGCATGTGTTTGTGTGTGGTGGTTCTGGACGGTATTAATAATTAGGACATTTCAATAAATACTATAAATTAATTTTAAAAATCAAGAAAAAATGTTCTTTTATTAGCTAAATAATTTCTGAGAGTGGTAATTATCTACCTTTAAATTAATATTCATAAAAATCCCATATTATTATCCTTAAATATAAATATTTTATTGTTTTCACTCGACTTTTTGATAATATATAATGTATATATATACTAAAATTCATGATTGATTTAGGTAAAATCATTATTTATGTTTATTTATGGCTATGGTTCTATTCAAATAGCTGAGTGAAGTGATTGAACAGATATTTGGAGTGTTTTTATCATCGTAAAAATCCTGCTTACCAGTAAAACTTTGTTTGATGACCTTAAAAACAAAACTATAATAGTCCTATTACACTATTTATCATCTATTAATTTATTATTAACGAAAACTATTTATTAAATTTAATAAATTATAAAAGTAATTAGAAAAAAGATATTCCTATTGTATCGATCTAAAGTTTGTAATTAAACCTTTAATATATAATCTAGTCCACGGATAAATTATTTAAGTATAAAAATTACTTTCATAATAGATAGAAATCTTTCATGTTATCTTATAAATAATTTTCAGTCAGAAGAAAAATTAACAAATTTCTGTGGTAAAATCATGTTTAAAATTGCAAAACTATTAATAAGATAAAATTAAAAGTATGTAAAATCAAAATGGAATGGCATAAATATATTTATTTTGTCATCTATGCTTGCTTTAAATAGTTTCTTGCTTCTGAACCGAGAAAGGGTTTAGGAATTTTAGTGTTTTTGAAAACAGAGTTATTGAGAAGAGTTTGTGTGTTTTCCCAGTTTTTTGCAACCAAAATATTTTAGTTAGAAATTGAAAACACAAGACTAGTTAACAAAAATTACTTTTATAATAGTACTTTGTGTGAATAAGGCCTGGGGACGTATCAGGTCCCAAGGTCAAAGAAAGCATTCTGAGCACCACCTCACAGGTCTTGCCATTGGCAGTTCCTGACAGATAAATTGTTGGGAATGGGGAAGGGGAGTTTTCGGTCCTTTTTTATATATACACCCACGAACTCCGTCCCTATTTTTGCAAAGTAACAGACAACAGAACGAAAATAGATATATACAAAGTCCACGGAATTGGAAGGGAGATTTTACACACCATTGCTTTGTCTCCTGCTGGGAAGGTTGGTTGTAGCACTTTCTTCATTCGATCAATCACACTTCACGATCACTCATTGCAATCACACACTGAAGCTGCCATCTGCTATCCGTTCCTCGGCGAACCTGAACAAGTATTGGACAGTTGTCTACATATACATTACTATTTACACATCTTTTAACACGTAAAAACACATTTCACCGCTGTTTTTGCCACAGACCCAAGTTTAAGACGCTTAAATGTGGAAGTTGCATCACTTTTTCCAGACCGACTGTCGTTATTTTCGTACAACCGTATAAATCTATGCACCTGAGCTGATGCAAGTAATCTGCTATAAGACTCAGTCCTTTGTCTGTGATCCTACTGCACTGGCCGATGTTGAGCGTATGCAGGTCACTGAGAGTCCTGGCGATGCGATTCAACCCTTCATCACTAATGGGACATGCATTGAGACTAAGACTACGCAAATTGAAAAGTCCCTGGGAAATATGTAAAAGTCCTTGGTCGCCTACCTTGTCACAGAAACTGACGTCGAGCGTCGTGACTCTTGACCCTCCCTCAGTCAAGTACGCCATTCCGACATCAGATATATTATCACAGCTTCGAAGGTTTAACTCTCTGAGAGATGGCATCCGTGCTAGATGTTTCAGGCCCGAATCTGTAACACTGGCACAAAAACTTAGATTGATACTCTTGAGGTGATGTAGTCCCAGACTCAAATGTCTCAAGGCATCGTCTGTCAACTTCTGACAGTCCTGAAGTCCCAAATGTTCTAACGCCAAAGTGCCGTCGGCAGCTTCTGTCGTCAGACCTGCCAAATGACCTATTCCCGTGTCGGACACGTGTCGACAACTTCTGAGATTGAGACTCCTTAACCTTTTCAGTCCCCAGGCGATAAGAAGCAGTCCCGTGTTAGTGACATTCGAACAACCACCCAAATCTAACACTTCTAAATTCTTGAGATATTGCGCTATTCTACCCAGACTGGAATCGGTCACCTGCTTGCACATACTGAGGTTGAGCACACTGAGTGTCGGCACTTCGTGGACAAAGGCGTGACTAAGCCACGTGTCGGTCAGATTGTAGCATCCGATGAGGTTGAGACTTTCGATATTTGGCACACCCAGCACCACATCACGCAAACTGCGACGGAGACTGAGAACTTGGACACGTCGTATTCCCCTCTTCACTAGACTTGGAAACAAAGACGGATTGGCTCTCCTCAAGTGGAGTTTAGCTTCCACACCCCTCCACACAGATTTGTGATAAGCCGCGTCACGCCAGGCGGTACAAACCTGAGCAGCATGTCCTTTGTCCCTGACGTCGAGATAACTAAAGATGAGGGCAAGAATCTCAGGATACAGGCACGAAATATGCGCCGTCGGCCCAACTGGGCAGCTGCCCTCCATCTTGGCGGCACAACACTGCCACACTCTCGTCAGCACAGCACCGCTTCCCTACTCTAGTGCACAGACACAAGCTGGCTAACTACAGTCCCGCATCCTCTCGCGAGAAATGAGAACCACGTAGCCACGCTATTGGTTCGTTTGGTTGAGGCGCCTTGTCCGATCTAGCCTCGCTTTCACTCGGAGGCGGGGTCGGGAAGGCCAGTCGCCACGCGCAGCCTTGGGCGCGGCGGATGCACACTCTCTCCCTGGGGTGTCTGCTTCTACCTGCCTTCTACCTCTACTTCTCTTCTTCTATCTCCAGTCCACTCGCTCCAACAACTAACTGCTAATTTTATATTCACTCCAACTTTTCTTTCGCGCGCTCCACACCCAATCACACTCCACACAACTACACCGCGTGTAATCACTACTCCATATCGCACTAAATCAATATTTTCTGGCTGTAGTTCGATTGAAATGGGACCGATAATCTATAGAAAGAGAGTGCTATCAAGTTCGAACAATCGACGCGTTTATTTATCCTGCCTTATTCTAAACAGTCGCGTGTCGATATAGATCGATGACCCTTTTGACTGTTTACTGGAAAAAAAAAATTAAGCATATCTTTTCTACATTCAGAAAGGTGTTATCGATTGGATACTGCTAATTCCGAATCGATATTGACATGGATACGAGTCAATGTCAGCGTTCCTTCCTCCCATCTTTAATGACCTTCAAAAATTAATACCTATATTTATGATAAATATTTTATTTTGTTAGAAAAATTATTTATTTTTAACTTAATATTTAGATATTTTCTTAATTCGTATTTTATTTTTTCTTTTATTTAATCGTCATATATTTAAATTATGGCTGTAAAATCAGAATTATAGCATTAAATATATGGAAATTCGTTTGACGACGATTTTTTATACATTGAAATTCGTATTTTTAAAATTTAATTTTTGTAAATTTAAAGCTTCATTTAAAAAGAGAGAGAGTGGAAAAAAATATATATATTAAATTAATTTTAAATATTGAAATTAACTATCAATGCCTAACATTTTATTTATTTATATATTTTATGTATTATTTGTATTTTTTAAATACATATTTCTCTCTCTAAAAATTCACTTTTTTTTTCGGTTTAAATTTAATTTTCTCTACTTGATTTTAAACTGAATTTAAGTGTGAAAATTTGTAAAAATTTCTACTATAATCGTTATAAAAACTATTATTATTGTAAAATTTTGGCGCGTATTTCTTGGCAGAAAAGACGAGTGACCTTCACGAAAAGATCACGAGTTCTCTATACGAAAACACTTATAAACCTTAAAATTTATTAAATTTACATATAGGAAAATTAAATTTCGAAATGACGGTATTATTAAAATACAATAATTTAATAATTTAAAATTTTTGTAGTTAATTTTAAAGCTTGCTAATTTGAATAAGTGTTTAATAATAATTTTTAAATTAATTTATGAACTGTGTCGTTAAAATGATCTGTCCTTATGAATTTGAATGAGTGTAAGTTGAGTCACAGTTTTCAAAGTTGTGACCCAGATGGAGCACAAACATGTAAGATGAGTCGAGTTCGTAAAAAGTAAAAGAAAAATATATATATATATTTATTTTTATTTACTTTTTCGTTTTCATTGCGATTCTTTTATCATATATAAGAAACGTTATATATACAGAATTTTTATATCTTTTTATCATAAGATTTAAATAGTTTTTAATGAATATTTAAAAGGAAAAAATATCTACATAATC